AAAAAAAAAAAAAAAAAAACATAAAGAACACATATACTTGAACGAAAAACAAATTCATTGTTGAGGTACTTTGTTACAATATTTAATCAAAACTTTGATGTTTTAGTTTTGTCCTTGAGTATTAAAGAAAAGTAAAGTGATTTTATCTGTTGCTTATTTGAAAAATAAAAATCGCTAATATTTTTTTCTTTCTTTCTTTCTTTTTTTTTTTTTTTTCAGAAAGAATGAGCAAAGATATTATTTTCGTTTATTGCAATGGAGATTGGACCGATGATGTTACTTATGAAGGATACGAGATATGTGGTGTTTTCCATAAAGAGGATGAAGGTTTGGAGGATTTAAAAGAAGCAATAAAAAAGATGATGGAAATCAATTCATCTGAAAAGCTATTGAAGTTGCAATATCAGATAAAAGAAGGGGTGAAGCCAATAACGATTAGCAATGAGATGAGCTTGAAGATTTACAAAGAATTGAGGACAAGAGGAGCAGATTTCACGAAATTCCCTCTGTGTGCAACTTTGGAAGCCAAACAAACACTTGCTTTGACAGTAACCAATTTTCCAGAAAATATGGAAACAGATGCAATTGAGATACAACCTCTCCAGATGATAGATTTTGAAGATTTCAAAAAGCTAGGTAATCAAAATCTACTTGAGTATGGCTGCAAATATTCACAGGATCTTGTCGAAATTGCAAGTGAAAGAATGGATTTTGTAGAAAAGAAACATGAGATTTATGGAGCAATGAAACAATCAGGCAATCTTGATGGAAAGCTTGAAGTTGGTCAGATTTATTCAAACAAGGATGAACTGAAAAATTTTTTAAGCTTGTATGCCATCAAACATCATTTTCAATTCATGGTTGTAAAGTCATGTCAGAGGCAATATGATATAAGATGCATTGACAATAATTGCCCATGGAGATTGAAAGCTTCAAGAATCAGCACAAGTCCCGTTTTCAAAATTCGGAAAGTGACAACCGAACATAGATGCAGCTTTGGGAATCGGATGAATGAGAAGAGGCAAGCAACAACGAATATTGTTGGAACATTTATTCAGGACAAGTTTGAGAGTTTGAAAACAAATTACACTCCAGCAGATGTTATACGAGACATGAGGAATATGTGTGGAGTTAATTTGTCGTACAAAAAAGCTTGGCGTTCCAAACAAAAAGCACTAGAAAAGGTTTATGGTCATCCATACCAATCCTACATAGTGCTGCCTCTATATCTCGAAAAACTGGTAGAAGCTAATCCTGGATCATTTGTGAAGCTAAAGACTGACAAGTCAAATAGGTTTGAATATGTCTTCATATCAATGGAAGCATCTATAAAAGGTTGGAATCATTGTCGTCCAATAATAATAGTGGACGGTACATTCCTAAAAGCAGCTTATGGAGGGACACTCATAACAGCAAGCACTCAAGATGCAGTTGGCCACATACTACCTCTTGCATATGGAGTTGTCGATTCTGAAAACAATAATGCATATCAATGGTTCTTCTCAAACTTGAAGGCGGCACTAGCGGAGAGGAATAATTTATGCATTGTTTCGGATCGACATGGTAGCATAATATATGCTGTCAAACAGGTAATATATGAATATATGTGTATACTCTGTTAACAAACGAATTAGATAAATTATTACAAAATTTTATAAAACAACTTTGATAAATGGGAAAAAAAACTTACAACAGACTTTAGAAATTTGATATACTTTTTAATATGAAATAACATTATATTATGTTAATATTATTGATGTGATGAATTGCAGATATTTCCAGAGGCTTCTCATTGTCACTGTGTATATCATTTGTCTAAGAATATCATAACAAACTTCAAGGAAAATCTTGAAGTAGTGAAAGGAGCATTTTTTTCAGCAGCATATGCTTACACAAATGAGGAGTTTAGCCATCACATGGAGATAATGAAGAAAGCGAACAAAAGGGTGGTGGAATTTCTGACAACATTAGGTGTAGAAAAATGGTCTCGTTTACATTGCAAGTCAAATAGATTTTTTGTTATGACTTCAAATGCAGCAGAGACAATAAATTCTACTATGAAGGTTGCACGAGAGCTTCCTATCACTCAATTATTGGAGAATATTCGTGGAATGCAACAAGTTTGGAATATGAAAAACAGAAAAGAGGCGCAAAACACGTTTACAATCCTTGCAAAAATGGGACAGAAGAAGCTAGAAAGGAATTATGAATCTTCTACAAAACTCACTGTAAGTAAGCTTTTTATAATTTCATAAGTATTTATGTATTTTTTTTTTTTTTTTTGTGGCAAAAACAATATTTAAAAATAATAAACAGGTGCAACAAGCAAGTGAGGATGTATACAAAGTGAAGAGTGGTCCTCAAATATTCATTGTGAATATGAAGGAACGGACTTGTACTTGTAACAAGTTTCAAATGGAAGAACTGCCTTGTGAACATGCAATAAGTGTCGTGAAAGGAAAACATGAGGAACCAGAAGTTTACTGTTCTCGTTTCT